TCCTTGAAAGTTGGCCCAGACCTCAATTTTATAGGTGAGGGGTGTCGATCGGCCACTCGCAATTCGAAAGGTGACCCGCGGACACGTTGTATGCGTAAAGACCTGCCTTATCTCGTTGCACGCATCAGTGAACGCTGGTATGCGCCACAGCAGATTGCAAGATCCACAGCCCAAGTTCTCGGCAAGGTCAGATGGCCCGATGCATACAGATAATCCGTATCAAAGTTGGACGTGCCAGCCGTACCGGTTTTCACGCCCAAACCAATGGTGCCGAAACGGAAAGAAGCTGCATGCCTGATAAGTAATGTTATAACCATGGGTATCTATTAATCCTTTAGACCGGCTCTAGCCCACAAAGTCCATCTGAGACCACCTACCATCGGAAAGTGAAGGCAAGCGCCACTAGTCGCGCTCTCAACCGGACTTCTGGGCAGACTGCAGCTGAGTCTCGTACTGGTGCTGATAGTAGCCGGCGTAGTAAAACGCCATCTGCATGTTCTTCAAGGCGTCTCCCTGACCTAGAACAAGGTCAGCTTGGCGTTCGGAACACATGGAAAATGCGGAAAGCGAGAGCTCCGCATGAACGGGGGAGGACACTAACCAGGCGCGGTGGCGTGGGCAGTGCCCGGCATGGGAGGGGCCGACGGCGGCTGGGCGACATTCTGCATCTCGGCCTCCTGCATCAGCTGGAGGGCAGCAGCGTCCGTCTCCTCGGAAGGCGCAGCGGCGTCACTGGCGTGGTTGGCCATCGGAGGCTGGTAGGCGGTACCATCGTCCGCCGTGTGGGCGCCCTGGGACTCGTGTTCTAGCTTGGCGCGAGACTGCGCATGGGCGCTGATGCCCATCTCCTCGAGCTCCTCCGGCTCGGCAAGACTGAAAGGACTGTTAGAGTCATAGGGTGTTTCGAGAGGAGCAGAAGCTTGACGCTACTTACTCAGCTAGATCGAAGATCTCGGCGGCAGTAAGCATCTCGCTGAGGGGAACCTTCTTGTCCCTCTTTTGCAGGCTGTGATACTTCTGTAAAGGAAAAGGTTTAGTCACTGAGCATGCCCTTTCACTACGCGCGTGTCTGGAGCGGTTTACCTTGTACTCGTTCACCTGAGCATTCCAGCCCTTGACCAAGGCGCGATCGTCCCAGGCGCCCTGGGCGAAGATGTCGATGCCGGTCATATTGAAAGAGGTGTAACGGGCCGTTGAAAGGCGCGAAATGAAGAGATTGCCTGGCGAAACTCCAGAGGTCGTGAGATCTGTTTGTTGTTCGTGGAGGATAGTGGTGGTGGTGAGGCGCGCCGACCGGGGTAGGCACCAGCCCGGCGCTTCTTCGGCGGGCGGCGCACGTCGCAGAAAAAAGTTCGGGCAAGCAACGCCTGCTAAGCATCACCACCTCCGCGCATCCGCATTTTCACCTCTCCCTAAAGATGGCTCCCGAGACCAAGTCCAAGAAGCGCAAGAGTAGGCGAATCCATCCCCTTGTCTGTGCCTGGCTAATTGACCCTCTACAGGCGGCGGCGCTGTTACCTCGCCCAGCACCAAGAAGCTCAGGAAATCCGAGGCCCCCTCTCCCGAAGAGCAGCCTGCGCCGGTCAAGACTAGCAAGAAATCCAAGAAGGAGGCTCCCAAGCAGGATGAAGACGCTGCCGTCACAAGGTCCAAGTCCTCCCGCAAGCGCGCCACTGATTTCTTCGACGCCGCCGACGAGGAAGCGGACGCTGCCGAGTCTACCCCCAAGAAATCCAAGAAGGCAAAGAAGGAGAAGGATGAGAAGCCTGTCGAGGAGTCTGCCCCCGCTGCCAAGCCTGTGAAGGGCAAGAAGGCGAAGAAGGAGAAGGATGAGGAGCCTGCCGAAGTGCCCGCCGCTGCCGCCAAGGCTGTGAAGGGCAAGAAGCGCAAGGCGGCAGAGGAGCCCGCCCCGGTCGAGGAGCCCGCCGAAGAAGAGGAGATTGCTGTTGACGGAAGCGAGGGTGAGAGCGAGGACGAGGACGACCAGACCAAGGCTCTGCTCAAGGGCTTCGAAAGCGACGAGGATGAGGAGGACGGCGAAGACGAGGGCGATCTGTCCAAGCTCCCCGCTCTGCCCGACTCGAAGAAGTTGGCCAAGCAGCTCAAGAAGGTCAAGGAGGACAACAGCACTGGCGTGATTTATATTGGGTTCGTTCCTTCCATAATTCTCGAAATCGTCGCTTGTTTTATCATGCTAAGTCTACTCACAGTCGCGTTCCGCACGGTTTCTACGAGCATCAGATGAAGGCCTACTTTACGCAATTCGGCGAGGTGAAGCGCGTGCGCGTCGCGCGCAACAAGAAGACTGGCCGCAGCAAGCACTACGCTTTCGTCGAATTCGCCAACAATGATGTCGCCAAGATTGTGGCCGAGACCATGGACAAGTACCTCATGTTCGGTCACATCCTGCAGGTGCGCTACATTCCTGCCGAGCAGGTCCACCCGGAACTTTTCAAGGGCTCCAACAAGCGCTTCAAGGCTGCCCCGCGCAACAAGATGCAGGGTCGCCACCTGCGCCTGGGCATGGTCCGTGAAGACTGGGACAAGAGGATTGAGCGTGAAGAGAAGAGGAGGAAGAGCAAAGGAGACAAGCTAAAGGAGATGGGCTACGACTTCGAAGCCCCGGCTATTAAGAGCACAAACAAGATTCCCAAAAGGACCGAGGCCCCTGCTGAGGCTGAGGAAGCCCCCAAGACCCTGACAGATAAAGCTCACGACGAGGAAGACCAGGAGGTTGCTGAGGCCATGGAGGCCGTCAAGAAATCCAAGAAGTCGAAGAAGAGGGAAAGCAATGGCGCGGTTGAGGAGGAGAAGGAGAAGGAGCCTGTGAAGGTCAAGGCGACCAAGGAGAAGAAGGACGCTGGCAAGGCTGAGAAGGCCGACAAGAAGGCCAGCAAGCCCAAGGCGAAGAAGGCCAAGACTTCTGCTTGAGCGACAGGGGTCCAAGAGCGGACGAGGAATTCACCTGTCAGACGATCGGAAATCTCAGCATGAGCCGAAGTAGATATACCCACGATTCCGTTCCATACGGACCTTCAGATCTGGCTGGAAGTTACGCGCACGCTGATAAGGACTTTACGTGCCATTCTCGCTGGTGACTCCCAGTCGAGGGACCTACGATACATTTACCAGGAATCATACTTGGTAGTTGAGACACGACATCGTTGGAGGATCGGCTCGGTAGAACAAAACAAAATTGGGGGAATAAAAGGAGTTCGGGGACCCCAGAGTCTTAGTCTTTATTTTTCGCATAAATATTATGAGGCTTTTCTTCCTGACAGCCACATGTCTCCCACTCGCTCGTAACTCATCATGCAAGCCTGATCTCTGATTACATCCCATCACATCACAGAGCAACACCATCACGCCTCGCCTAGCCCCAAGTTATGCAACCGGTCCAATCTTATTTGACAACAAGCGCGGCACTGGGGACCATGCCAGCTTCTTTGAGCGTCTGGCCGAAGTCGGTCTGGTCGAACACCTTCCTGGGAAAGTTCTGTGAGAATGTGGTCACAGTAATGCCGTTCTCCTGAGACAGCTGATGTGCCAGCTCGAACAACGTAGTGTCCACTGGCAGCGTCTTCTGCACGGTGCCAGAAGGGAGCTGCAGCCTCAATCTCGTCTCGGTGTATGCGCTCGCAGGCTTCGACGTGGTAGGTCCTGACGAAGTCGCAGCAGGTGCTGGCGCCGGAGCTTCGGCAGGGGTCTGTCCCAGTCTTGCTGCCTTCTCTGCCTCGGCCTTCCGCTTGCGCTCGAGCTTCTGGGCCTCGATCTGGGCCTGGACGCGCTTGCGGGCCTCGATATCCGCCTGCTTCTCACGACGCTTCTGCTCTGCTTCTTTCATGCGCTCCTTAGCCTGCAGAGCCTCCTTGGCATCCTGGCCCTCTTTGGTTGCCTTACGGCGAATTTCCTGGTTGTCGCAGTGTCAGCGCAGATTGAGAAGGCAGCAACGCGATAACTAACGTCGTTCTTCTTCTTGTCAATCTTGTCCTGCTCCGACAGCCCCGCGCGCTTCTCGGCAAGCTTCGCCCGCAGCTCCTCCAACCTTGCTTTCTTCTCCTCCTCGGTAAGCGGCTTGATTTCCTCCGTCGACTCCTCAAAGTCAACGTGGCCGGACTTGCTGGCATGGAACTCGGCTTGGGCGTGGGAGCGGAACATCTTGCCGCAGTCGTTGCACTTGAGGCTCTGGGCCTGCTCGCCCGGACCGGGAGGCGGGGGTGATGACGAGGACGCTGCGGCGGCATCTTCGGCCTTGATGTCGTCGAGAGACTTGTCTTGGTTCTTCTCGAGCCAGTCGATGGCGTTTTGGACTAGGGGTTCATCAGATCATTGGTACTGCTGACGGATCGGCAGCTACTTCATAGCCAAAGGTAGACGTACGTGAGCCGGACTTCTTGAGAGCGAGCTCAGCGCGCTCCCGGTCGAAGCCCATGTCGGCGAGCATGTCGAGGTCGGCCATTGTTGCGGGAGTGGCGATCAAGCAGGTGGGAATGAGTGCAGCTGCAGGGGGGGGAGGAAGAAGAGTACTATTGAGCGAATGCGCAGGTAGCGGTGGTGCAAGCTGGCGGGGAGCAGCAGCGGCGGATCGGCGTTAAGGCAGGCGATTCTGGAAGTGACGTACGATGTCGCGCTATACTCAATAGAGACTAGCTCCAGGGCTCTTTGTATCGCTGGCCTGGAATCACACAGCCCGCCCGCAACCACCACGGCAGACGGCAGTCTTTCCCGCGGTACCTCCAACCACCCTCTCCACACCAACTCTTCGCCGCCTTCTGCGTACCTCGCAGCGTGCCCACTTCGCATCCGCCAGCTGCAACGCTCCCTGCGCCCCGACGTCGCCTCGTCTCCCCATTCTTGCGCGCAAGCCCCTGCCACCTGGCGCCCACAGGACACCATGTCGGTCGAACTGACGCCGCCCGAGCTGGGCTTCAAGAGTATGACGTCTTCGCGAGCGGTCTAGTGGTACACATTACTGATCATGTCGCAGGACCCTTCACCACGGAGGTCTCGCAGAGCCTGCGCCTGCGCAATCCCAACAGTGACCCTGTCGCATTCAAGGTACGTCGTCATCGAGTCTCACGAGCTCCTCACACAGGCAATCTAACGGATCTAGGTCAAAACCACTGCTCCGAAACAGTTAGCGCTTCTTTTCGCTCCAGGGTTCCTACAAAATGCTTACCACTGTTTGCAGGTACTGTGTCCGCCCCAACTCCGGTCGGATTGAGGCTGGCAAGGAGGTTGAGGTTCAGGGTGAGTACACCAAGCTGTTTTGGACAAGTATGCGCAGTTAGTAACAGCGGCATTGCAGTTCTGCTCCAAGCCATGAAGGAGGACCCGCCTCCAGATGCCCGCTGCCGTGACAAGTTCCTTGTCCAGTCCGTCGCCGTGACCGCCGACATGGAGTTCAGCAACGTTGGCACCATCGTACGGAAATGAACTGGCACATATGACACAAGGGAAGGGCTAATTGAGATGCAGTGGAACCACATTGAGCAGACGGCCAAGCACACGATCCAGGAGAGGAAGATCCGTGTCATCTTCCTGCCTGCCGACGGAGCCCCGTCGGTCAACGGTACGACGTCCAACGACGTCTCGTCGCAGCGCTCTCCTTCTCCCGAGGCCGTGACCCCCCAGCGCACTACCGCCGGCTCCGTTTCCCGCCCGGAGTCTCGCCCGTCTTCGGCCAAGCACACGGGCGAAGCTGCCGGCTCCGCGTTCAACCCCGCCAACTCGACGGTGATCGGCAACGCTGTCTCGAGCGTGACTAGCGCGATCCCCACGTCCACGGAAGAACTCAAGGCCCAGCTCCAGGAGGCACGGGCGACGATCGCGAGGCTGGAGCAGCAGGCGTCTTCGGGACTCAGGCAGCGCAAGGGTGATGGCGTCGGTAGCAAGGACGAGAAGGCGGCATCGAACTTGTCGGTCCAGCAGGCGCCGGCAGGAGGCGTGCCGGTGCAGGTGGTGGCGGGATTGTGCTTGTTCAGCTTCCTGCTGGCCTACTTCTTCTTCTAAGAGAGCGAAGCGACGGGGATACCATAGGGGGCGGATTTATAGGTCTTGGCAGCGGCCGTTGGCCGGGCCTGGCTCGGTGCATTCATTTGCTTCTGTTTCTTATTCTGATTCTTCTATTACCATACCGCGCACCAGCACATGCACTTTCTTTGGGTTAAAATAATGGAATTGCTCGGTCTTGCCCCGCCTGTTTTTTTTTTCTCGGAGTCAAGCGAGCATCTTCCTCTATCCGGTAAAATGGAGTTGGGGCGCTTGCTTTATCAAGGAGTCTTGTGTCATAAATGAATGTCTCGTAAACTACGGACCGCACGGGAACGCGTCCTCGGCGGGCCGCGGTAATGATTCCAACAACGGTGATCCAATTGGTCGACTGTTTTACGTGAGCGAAGAGGGTGTTCTGCTTGGCTGCTCCCTGGACAATATACGTATGCTCCCGGCCAGCTGGCGCGTCTCAATTCGCAGCGTGCTGTGAGTTGGCGAGTGGAAGGCGGAAAAATAGCAAGCCGAATGGGGCGATGGCTTTAGTAATAATCGTGCCGATCTCGCGGGCGTGAGCAGCGCGGGCTTATAGGCTACGTTCCGCCCCACATGCCCCGGCAAATCGAACGTACATACGTCGTCGTGTCGGGTCTTTTACTTTTAGCCCCCACAATACCAAGCTTGCTGCGACCCAATCCCAATGCTGGACTGACGACATCGAATGCTGCGGCGCATGTCGGTTCCATGCAGATCGTCGGGGTATTTCTGATTAGAGCTTGGATCCTCGCACTTTTGGACGTCGATGGTCGGTTGGCCCCCAAGTGTTTTGGCCGAATATGATCTCGTGTGTAGAGACTTACTGTGTTGAGGGTTACTCCGCTTTTTTATTTGGGTTCTTTTAGATTCTAGTGCACAATGGGTAGGAGGACGTGAGTAAAGCGGTAAAGTGTCCGGGGACTGTGGGGATTTATATATATATAGTTTTTGTAACGAGCGAAGGGTTGGTCTTGGTCTTTCTCCCTGACTTCCCCGTGAGTCTTTTTTTCTTTTCTTCCCCCCAAGACCTACTTAGCTTTGGATCTCCCTTTCCAAACCCTTTTCCCCCTCCAGTTCCACATCCATCCGATCCCGAACCACCAACCGCAAACCAACATGGCCTCCACCACAGCTGAACAACCTACCTTCACCCCCCTCCCCCGCCGCCACATCACCCTCCCCAACCCGCTCACCAACACCACCATCACCGCCTCCTTCGCCGCTTCTTTCCCCCCCACCTCTTCTTCCTCCTCCTCCCCCGACCCCGCCAAGCCGACCATCGTCTTCCTCCACTCCTTCTCCACCGACTCCTCCCTCTTCGCCCCCCAATTCGCCGACCCCCGCCTGCGAGACTCGTGCAACTTGATCGCCATCGACTTGCTCGGGCACGGGGGGACGAGGATTTACGAAGGAATTGTTGGGGAGGAGGAGAACGAGGAGGATGGGGAGCGGCGGCAGAGGGACTGCGGGTGGACGTATTGGGACAGCGCGGCGATGGTGGTGGGGGTGCTGAGGGGGTTGGGGTTGCGGAAGGGGTGTTTTGTGCAGGGGACGAGCCAGGGGGGGTGGGTGGCGGTGAGGGTGGCGTTGGTGGCGCCCGAGATGGTACGTATATATGTTGTGGGTTGGGTTGATTCTTTTCTGGTTTTTTTTGTCGTTGTTTTGGTGCTTTATGATGGGGGATGGAGTTGGAGACGGTCTGTTTATGAGGAAAGCCGGGACGAGATCTGCATCTGTTCTTCTCTTCCTCTCTTTTTCTTTTCACTCTCGTCCCTTTCTCTTCTTGACATTTTCCTTTCTCTACTTCTTTTCTGCGCTACTTCCTACCTCGCCGTCTCCATCATTTCCATTCCCGCAGTACAAACCTCCACCTCACACAAGCCTAATTGATACCCCCAGATCGCCGGAATCATCCCCATGGGCACATCCATCGACCACGAGTCCCCCCACTCCATCACCCTCGGCTGCTGGGACGGCCGATCCGTCGCGCTCAACGGGCCCATCGCCTTCACCAGTACCTCCGCCGGCTCCCCCACGCCGTCCTTCGCCCCTCCCGACCAATACTGCGACTACCTCGTCGCCGTCGGCTTCGCGCCCGGCCGCCTCTCGCCCGCCGCCGCCGCCTTCTGGAACCGGCGCATCAAGGAAAACTACGCGGGCGACGCGGGCAGGCGCCGCTTGCGGACCGCCGCCGTGTGTCTGGCCGAGAGGGACGGGCTGCTGGGGAGGGTGGGGGAAGGCGTCAGGTGTCCGGTCTTGTGGCTGCAAGGGGATCGGGACGAGGTGTATAGCGTGGCGAATGCGGAGGAGGGGATCAAGGCGTTTGGGGAGGGGGGAGAGAACAGGTTGGTGGTTGTGGAGGGGGGGTCGCACTTTTTGAGTGCGGATGCGTTTGGGGAGGTGAATGGGTTGGTTTGGGAGTTTGTGGAGAAGTGGTGGAAGGGTGGTGAGCTGGTGTGAGGTGTGAGGTGTGAGATGTGAGCGGTGCGAGGGTGTACCGGAGGACTGAGTGCGTTGAAGTGGTGCGTGTTGAGCGGAGATTGTTAAGGAAAGGGTGATGGCGGGTTGTAGAAGATCAAATCAAGCTCGCTTACATGCAGTCGTTGTCATCTTTCGGGAGCCACGGCCGCTCGCTGGAACGATTGCGAAGTGATGCGTCTGGAAGGCGCACTCAGCCTGCAAAACTTGTGGTCCGCAACGTGCCTTCCTCAACACCAGAGGAAGGAGCAATGCAGCAGCAGCTGTCCTGAGCTTGCTTTCACGCTCCGCTTGGCCTCTCTTCTTCATCCACCATCCAGCACCAGCATCGACGCAGCATTGACGTCTTCATTCTGCTATTATTGATACTACTTCTATCACCGTTACCGTCCTCGCCTGGTCTTCACTCACCAGCCACCACAGCTATGGATAACCAGCACGCCAATGAAGTTCCCCCGCCACAACACGTTGGAGGTTCTACGCTACAATTCGTTGTGAAAGTGTTCAGAGCACCGCAGCACGTCAATCAAGGTTTTACGCTACAAGGCGTTGTGCATGTATTCGGAACACAGCAGCCCGTCAATCAAGGTGTTATGCTGCAAGAAATTGGGCATATACTCGAAGCACAGCAGCGCGCCAATGAAGGTGCTCCGCCACAACACAATGAAGGTTCCCCGCCACAACACAGTGAAGGTGCCTCGCCACAACACAGTGAAGGTGCCTCGCCACAATACAATGGTGTGCCAGATCCTGAACACCACAGTAACAGGGCCGAGACCGGCTCTCCTCCTGAACAGCTCACCAACAGGGTCGGAGTCGCCCATCCTATCCAACACCCCCAGCCGATTAACCGTCACTACCACATGAGCCTTCCCAATCAACTCGACTCACCAGAGCACTTTGATTCTGAGCCTCATCCGCTATACCACAGCAACAACGCAAGAGCCGACTTGCCTCCACAGGACGCCAACAGCATGGAAACGGACCATACCGAACACCTTGACGCAGCCCATGGCGGATCCTCTCAACAAACTCCGTCGCAGCAGTACAGCCCCGCTCATATGTACGAGCTTCGTGAAGATACTTGGCTGGCTGCATCACAAGATGGCGCGGAGGCCCATGCTGGGCCATCTGGAAACCCCTCGCAAGCCATACCACAAGGTGACACGGAGGCCCATTCTGGGTCATCTGGAGACTCCTCGCAAGCCACATCAGAAGGTGGCACGGAGGCCCGTTCTGGGTCATCTGGAGACTCCTCGCAAGCCACATCAGAAGACAGCGCGGAGGCCGATGATAGAATTCCTGATATCCCCCCGGCACCTCGATCACAACATGGCGCGGAGGCTCATGATGAGAATTCTGCCATGTATCCGCTAACCGTACACGAACCGCTGTATTCGCAAGGGAACCGACGAAGAGGATTTCGCAGGTGGAAGTCAGCCCGGTTATTTCTGTTGCTCGTCATTACCTGCGCGGTGATCGCCAGAAACCACTCCAAGGCCGTCCAGGCTCAGGCAAGCTGCGACTCTGATGTTTGCTGGTCCGGTGTTGATTGGATGGCTCTTTGCGATGACGATGGGGTTCTGGTCGATTGGGATTGTCTCGAAACCGGAGAGCCGGACATGGGCCCTGTGCCTGACTGCAAGCCGGAGACATTGGTCGAGCCGCTGCCTGAGACTTCGAAACGGGCAAAAGACCCGGTCAGGGGCTTCGCCGAGGCAGTATTAGCGATTCCTCGTCTGGACTACACAGGCCTTTTCAAAGGTCATCCAAGTCGTTCAGAAACACGCGTCCAAAGAACACCAGCAGAGGAAACACCGGCAGAGGAAACACCAGCAGAGGAAACACCAGCAAAGGAAACACCAGCAAAGGAAACACCAGCAAAGGAAACACAAATGAGACATTTCACCGGAGTGGTAATAAAAATCTCGGTTTGGGACATGGCAAAGGCTTCTTTTTGGCTGGGCGTTGCCGTTGCCGTCATGGCAGATATGATCATAGGTTAAACATGCTGGATGGTGAGCGGAATATGTCGGACTGGTTCAGTTTTGATGATGGCATGGAACAGCAGTGATGGAGATGGAAAGGATTCAGTTTTGGGAACCATTGTTACGAGAACGGTCGTTTCGTAGGTTGTCGCATTAAAACTGTCATTCGGTAGGTTGTTGTCAATTGACGAATCATTCTTTCTGCGCTTCTACCACTTGCACTATCACTTGTGAATGATGGAGGCAGTGCTCTTGCTTTTTGTGGAGGGAGAAAGGAGGGGAGAGAGAGGGGGGGAGAGACACAGAGGGAGGACACTTGCCTGCCAAACAATCATTTTGCCCGCGATTAATGGTCACAGTTGCATATGGAGGTCGGTTGAGAGAGGCGGAACCAGGACATTCAAGGCCACCCAGATAGATGGGCCCAGATACGGGGTCGGCAGGTTGAGTGTTCACAGAAAGAGACCGTTGTTGTTTCGCCACGAGTCATGGTACTCGCATCCCGCCACGGCACAGCCATGACGGTTGAACCCACGAGGCGGAGGATTTATATATCCGTTCGTATTCAACGCGGGAAGGAACAATGCAACAGGAACATATCGTAGTTTTAATCTCATCACTCGCCCTTCCGTACAGGGGCCGGTGGTGGGCTGGGCTGGGCTGGGCTCAGGCACACGTCGGGACACGGCCACCCAGCCGCCGAGCCGCCGCCTAGCCCGCCGCCCACCAATACAAATGCAAATACACAAATTCTCCGTACCTTGGGTGTGTGTGTGGACGGGCTGGCTGCTTTACCCTTGATCCCTGCATATCGCCCGTAGACGTTGGACAGAGAGATAGAGAGAGTCATGGCCGATACACCCATCTCATGCCGGGCGCCGAACGAAGAGGTCGAGGCGGCCACCGCACTATATCGAAAGGGCGTTTCCGTTTTGTTCGTGGCGTCCAGGTGACGCGGCGGCGTGGTGTGTCTTCTTCTCACCTGACAATTCAGGCTGAACAAACGAACAAACAAACAAAAACACACACACACACAAACACAAACACAACACAGACACCCTAAATCGCCGACCTAGGTAGGACTCGACGGCCTCTCTCATGAATCGCCGCGAACGACGACGGGAATTAGGGTTGACCGCCGCCCGTACCGGGCCGGAACTTTCTTCGGAGTTTAGGCGGCGGCGGCGCGGGGGTGGCTTGGATGAGTGGAGGGTGCTTTCTTCCGAAAGGGGAAGTGGGCTGCTGGGCTTAATTTGGGGGCCGTGCGGGGGCCTGGTCGGCGGTACCTACGGTAGGTACGTAGCAGCCCCAGCCCAAGCCCACGATTTTTTTTTTTTGCCGGGGCGCTGGGCGGGCGGGCGGCATTTCCTTCGTCATGCTTGATCCATTGATGAAGGAAGGGTACTTGCCAGCTGACTTCTGGAAAAGAATAGGGGGGGGGGGGGAGAGAGAGAGAGAGAGAGAGAGTGAGAGAGGGGGCTTGGAAAGTGGGCGAAACACCCACCTCTGTACCCGACCGACCCCATCGCCGACACCGCCACCGTGACTCGCTGGCCAAAAAAAAAAAAAAAGGGCCAAGGACGATGGATCCTACGCAGGGTAAGACCCATCTGCTCGGATATTCCGACAGGGACGGAGGCGGGGCGCATCCGTTCGGAAGTTGGCGCGCGTGGCAGCCTGGCAGCCTGGCAGTGTTCGAGAAGGAGAAGGAGAATGGGAATGAGTTGGGGTACCCACAAGTTTTCATCTACGGTGCGAGTGCTGTGCTGGTGGAAGCTGGCCCGCGAGCTGGTAGGTGAGGCGGTGGCGGTGGCGATGGCGACGGCGACGGCCTCTTCTCTCAGCGGAAAATTCACGGAGATTCAGCTTTGGTCAGGCGGTCCTGGAGGCCGGGCTGTATAGTGATTCTGAGCGGCCGGGCAGGGTTGGCGCCTGTCGAGGCTTATCGCGTCCGCCGCAGCCTCATCAACAAGCAATCTCCACGGCTTGGCACGGCGAGGCTTGGTAGAGCTAGCAGTGGGGACTATCGAGCGACGTACGTGTGGGTAGTACAGCGAGAGTTGGCTGTCGTGGTGTTGGAGGAGGAGGGGCATCCGTTTCTTTACGGCCGAACCGAATGCATGGTGGGCTGGCATTGTATCGGTAGGGCCTTCTGGAAACGCTCGGCGGCATGGCGGGACGCTGGTGCATGGCGGCGGAGTTGGAGCGGGCGAGAGCGGCACGGCGGTAGTGATGAGATGATGCGCCGCTAGGATGAGTCGTTTCACCTGGAAGCGACCTTCGCTTAACGCCCCACTTCGGGCAGGCCGTGGTCCGGAATGGCCCCGGCGGTCAAGGCAGGGGGCTGTCCAGTCCTCCATCTCGCCAACACTTGCTCGGCTCCCTTCGAAAAGCTGCTGCTCTCGCCTTCGCAGCCTGGCTGCCGACCATGGTGCCGCACGTAGTCCCAATCACGGCCGAGACGGCCGCCTCTGCGCCGGTTTGCCGATTGCCAAGCCTGGAGGTGTCGCAGATGCAAGCCCCATATGTTTCCGTTTCGTTTGCAGCCGTTGTTTGGGCTGCCGTTGTCTCGCTGCGTCGTGCCTTCGTTTTGCCGGCCTGCCACAGCCGACGAGGGCCGTGGAGCTGGCCGCTCTCCCCGCTCTCCCCCCTTCCTCCAACACGCGGGAAATATTTCCGAGCCAGGTCCAGCATTGCCTGCTGGTGGATTCGGCGCGATAGGGGGACGGCCTGGCAGGCAGAGGGCCGTCTTCATTGGTGGAAACGCGCTAGAGGGCGCGCCCCACCGAGATCAAACATATCAAAACCCCATCATGCGCGCAGCCGGCTGGAGGAGGCTATTGCAAAGGGCTGCCAAGACGGCTGGGTGGGCCCATCTGGCATTTCTCCCGTGGTCGGCTGCTGTTGTCGCGGCTGGCGCCCGGAGATTGATGTGCCCAGAGTCCTCAACCGCCGTCCAAGCTTCACTGTCGAAGCTTGACTGCTCCTGCTGTGATGGCTGCTCCCACAGCCGACCAGCCCATTGTTTCGCTCCACCCTACGGCCGGCTGAGCTTGTATATAAGATCTGGGCGCCTTGCACATCAATACCTCTCCAGTCCATCAATCCCTTCCATTCTTTTGCATTGCAACCTACATTCGTTCATCAATCACTTGCCAACATGAAGTTCACTGTTCTCGCCACGGCCTTCGCCATGGCCCACCAGGCCGCTGCGGTCGGCGTCGTCGGTGCTGCCGAGGGTTTTGCTAAGGGCGTCACTGGTGGCGGCTCTGCAACCCCCGTCTACCCCTCGACCGTCGCCGAGCTGACCAGCTACCTGACCGACTCGTCCGCCCGCGTCATCGTCCTCAACAAGGAGTTCAACTACATCGGCTCCGAGGGCACCACCACCGAGACCGGCTGCCGCCCGGCCTCCAACAAGTGCCCTGGCAACGGTGGCCAGGACGCCATCAACCACGCCAGCTGGTGCGACAACGGCAACGCCGGCACCGGCTCGACCTCCATCTCCGTCACCTACGACACTGCCGGTGTCGAGGGCATCAAGGTCGGCAACAACAAGTCCATCATTGGTGTTGGCTCCAAGGGTGTCATCCGCGGCAAGGGTCTGCGCATGGCCGGCGTCAAGAACGTCATCATCCAGAACATCCACATCACCGACCTCAACCCCCAGTACATCTTCGGTGGTGATGCTCTCACCCTTGATGGCACTGACATGATCTGGGTAAGTTCATCATCCTTCCCTACGTCTTCCTGAACGCTGTATTGACTCCTTTTTAGATTGATCACGTGAAGGTGAGCTCCATCGGACGTCAGTTCGTCGTCCTGGGCAACGGAGCAAACACGCGTGTTTCGATCTCAAGCTCGGAGTTTGACGGCCACACGGACTACTCAGCTACGTGCGATGCGCACCACTACTGGGCGCTCTACTTCACCGGTTCCTCCGACATGGTCACCTTCAAGGGCAACTACATCCACCACACCTCTGGCCGCTCGCCCAAGGTCGGCGGCAACACCCTCCTCCACGCCGTCAACAACTACTGGTACGCCAACTCGGGCCACGCTTTCGACATGGGTTCCACCAGCTCCAACGCCGTCATTGAGGGCAACGTTTTCCAGAACGTCGTCACTCCTCTTCTTGAGAACAAGGGCAAGGTTTATGCTCCCACTTCGGTTCAGAGCACTTGCTCCACCTATCTTGGTCACTCTTGCCAGGCCAACGCTTTCGGCAGCTCTGGTACTCTTGCTGGCACCGACAGCTCTGTCCTTTCTAGCTTCAGCGGCAAGAACGTTGCTACGGCCAGCTCTGCCAGTGGTGTTGCTGCTGCCAAGTACGGCATTGGCATCGTTGCTTAAATTGGTGCTTGCACCACTACTTCTCCACTTGGCTGAGCCTAGTGTGATCTTACATGTTTGGCACATGTCACTCTTTACAACCAAAAACCACTGCGACTCCTTGGCTTCCTGTGGAATGCCTACGGTGAGGAACGCGTACCAACTTTTATTGGAATCTTCTTGTATATAAAATCTTTGATAGAATGTTGGGACTGATGCTCTTCGCGTAAATATTTGAATTTATGTTTACGAATGGCCTAAAACCTTCTCTCTTGAGCTTCGAATTGCGTGAACGCTAGGAACTGAATCGTTGGGACAGTCTTACACATATCCTGATCAAGACCCACGCTTGGTAGTACTGCATTCCTTGAAACTTGCGTCGAGATACTGGCTTCGACTGCCACGAATCATTTCCTCAGCACTTGCATGCTTCAACTACCCACCTGCTAACAGTGAATTTCCTAACAACTATATCAAGACGTCTTCTTCAGCAACCCACGTGGTAGAAAACACTCGCTCAATATTTATATCCAGCCAGTTGCTTCAACTACCCATATACCAACAATCCAATCCTTAGCACTGACGTCCAGATGGACTCTTCAGCTGCCCATATTCCAACGATTCGTTTCTTACAATTTACACCCGGTCACTTACTTCAGCTCCCCTCGTGGAACACGTGATATTTCCAACACTCGCATCAACATCAACAACTGACTACCCACGAGTCAGTGAACTTTTATCACAACAAACCGAAAACACAGCCACTGACACTTTTCGCGACTACGACCGTGATTGATTTAAGCATACCCTTCAAGCATACCTCCCATGTAACACACCCGCCCCACATAGATTGGCTGGGTTTTGCGTGTACGCGTAAGCCGCGGCCGGGAAGGACGACGCACTGTTGTAGATCACGCAAGGGGGAGGGGAGGGGCGTTGTCGCACATGCGCCGTCGGAACGCCGACAACGTCCGCCACCTCCCGGTCCCGGATTTAAGGCTCGGGACGCATTAACGCGCGGACGTTTGTTTTCTGGGGGCGTAGATCTTCTTCAGGGCTTCAAGGGTGCAGCCTGTAGATCTAAAAAAGGATCTGGTGACCGTCCAGGGAGGTTGCGACGTCAGACTGCACTACTGGCGCCGCTTCTCTATTCGGTCGATGATGGAGTTGGTTACCTTATCTTGTAGCACCGGAAACCGAGTTTGTGCCTTTCTTCTCTTTTTCTTTGCATTTTCAGCCGACAACTCATGAGCCATGGCCACTGAGTCCGGTTCCCCTTTTTGTATTTGGAGCGATTTGACTGGATAGGCGTATTGTGGTTCTCCGCTCGCAACTTTTGTCAAAGTACACATGGAAAGCACGCTCTGACTGCTGGACTGGCTAATGAGAGACCCCAAAGTGTCCAAGTCGTTTTATTTCTCAGGGAAATGCTCATTCAGTGCTTTGAGTATGCTTGGAACAGTTTTACGATGTTCTTTGCCTTCAGAAAATGAAGTCGATCATTACTCCCGGGTCTAAGCCAAACGCATCCTCGCCCGGAGCAATGAAGCGACGGTGGGACACGAACAAAAAAAAAACCAAACAGCTAGTATCAAACGCCTAGTCTCCGGCTGGAAGCCTTTCCCATTTGCTCCCTCCCAAAAAAGCAAAAAACACCTGCTTATCCTCTCCCAAAGGCTTTAGACCCTTATTTCGCCGTGCACATTTCCCAAGTAGTATCTAATTCCCTGAACGCCTTCGCCAAAATGCACGAATCATCTGTACACGTCCCAACGCCCATAGCCGCAAACATCAATGTCAGAAATTGTCGGTGTCGCGGGTACATCGTCCGGGTGCATGAGCCCGGGCGCAGAAGCAGCCAGGATGGAAGCTGAAGGAGCGGTGCTCGCTATTCGGAGGACCCTATAATAAACGTCAGCGTGAGTGTGTTTTCCTTTAGCAAGATACGAATGCTCTATTCACTCTAGGTATGGCGAACAATGACGGTGAGGGAGAGTGAAAAGGGAAACGGCAAGGGCATGCATACCATTTGACAGCAGCTTTGGGGAGCTGAAGAGTTGTCGATGATGACCGACTTGTAGTCTCCATTTCCGGAAATCGTGTCTTCCCGCTTTCGACCTCGTTACGAGTAACCGCTTTCTTGCTCCTCCTCTCTCTTCTCCTTTTGCTCGAGGTGGAAATTGATCTGAAGCGCTCTTATAGTGCAAACTTGATAGCCCAGGACGAACCCAATCGCATAGCGTGGTACCGATCTGGCCGTCTGAGCGAAGTTCCGGATTTGTAGTGTTGTCGTCTCAGCTGGCTCTTGGCAGTGTTGATGTAGTCGAGCAACGCGCAGACGAAAGAGGAAATCATCAAGACGACATTCAAAGTGATGGTAGAGCGAGATTGTTGTGGGGATGCTGCTCCGATGAATTGGTGCGTGCAGAGGGAACAACTTTTGTACCTTTTAAGGCTGTGAGTGAATGTTCCATGTTCCGCGCACCCTTGGTTGGGTTGACTCTATTTTCAGGCCGGGGGTTTGCCCAGACCAGCCGGCACAGGCGTTGTTACTACTGATGCGGTAAGCGCGCCTGGTTGTGTGGTATGATGGGCCAATCAGACGTGGGGGCTGCGCCTCGAGCTGAACGTTGGTGGTGGTGGTGGCTGGGTTCCTCTCACCATCCTCTTCGCCAAAATAAGCTACCGTGAGCGTGCCGACCATAATGTTTACGCTCAGCTGATTGTACGGATGATCATTATTGTTACCACCCTAACGAAACCGTCCAGGACGCCGCCCTCTCAATATGTGGGTAGTTGGATCCAATATGTGGACGAGTTTGTCTACATTCATTACCCACGTTTATGTCCGGACATTTGATTAAACTACCACTTTGTTCTTAAGCAACCACACTGACAGCGGTAAAGAGAGCAACAATGCTCATAAATTCTATCCGATAAATTTGCCTGGCTCTTTTGCCGGCCGAACCTCTTCTCTTTTTTCATTTTACCTACGCCATTGAACTTTACTCAAGAAATATGGCTGCCAATCATGATAGCATCCCAACATAAAACACATAAATACACGGAGCCCTCCCGAAGGCCGGGAAACGGGAAATAAAAAAAGGTTAGTTACCCTCAATCATCTTCTTGATGTTTGCGATCTGGTCCAAGACCGAAGACCTGCTCGTACCGCCTTTAGTGGCACGCATCTCGACGCTCTTCTCGTAGTCGAAAGACTCCACAATGTCACGCTCAAAGCGAGCGTCAACGGCCTGCAGCTGCTCGAAAGAGAGCTGATCCATGGGGATGCCTTCCTTCTCGGCAAGGGCGACGACACGGCCGGAGATGTGGTGGGTCTCACGGAAGGGAACGCCCTTGCGGACGAGGTAATCGGCAAGATCGGTGGCAAGCATGTCAGGGGTCAGAGCGGCGCGCATCTTCTCGGGGACAATGTCGAGGGTGGAGATGACGCCTGTGGCGATCTGGATGCTGTCGGCAACCGTCTTGACGTGGTCGAGCAGGGGCTCGACGCTCTCCTGCAGGTCCTTGTTGTAGGTCGAGGGGATGCCCTTGATGGTCATCATGAGGCCGGCCATCTGGCCAAAGGCGCGGCCCGACTTGCCGCGCAGCAGCTCGAGGCTGTCCGGGTTCTTCTTCTGCGGCATCAGCGAGCTGCCGGTGCTGTAGGCGTCGGCCAGCTTGACGAAGCCGAACTCGGCGCTGCTGTAGATGATCAGGTCCTCGGCCCAGCGGCTCATGTGCAGCATCAGGGTGCTGCCCCACTGCATGGCCTCGAGGGCAAAGTCGCGGTCGGCGACGCCGGCCATGCTGTTATACAGGACCTCGTCGAAGCCGAGCTCCTTGGCCAGAGCGTCGCGGTCGATGCCGAAGGGGTTGCCGGCCAGGGCGCCGCAGCCGAGCGGGCAGCGGTTGACGCGGCGGATCGTCTCGCGCAGGCGCTGGAGGTCGGTGGCGAAGGCGAGGCCGTAGCTGAGCATCCAGTGGCTCCAGCGGATGGGCTGGGCTCGCTGCAGGTGGGTGTAGCCGGGCATGACGGGGTCGAGCTCCTTCTCGGCGCGGGCAGAGACGACGTTGAGGAAGTCGACGAGGAAGCCCTCAATCTCGCGCAGCTTGTCGCGCAGCCACATGCGGATGTCGGTAGCGACCTGGTCGTTGCGGCTGCGGCCGGTGTGGAGCTTGCCGGCAATGTTGGTGCCAATGATCTCGCCCAGACGGCGCTCGTTGGCGGTGTGGATGTCCTCATCGACGCCGGGCTTGATGTCGAAGGCGCCGCTCTCCCACTCCTGCTTGACCTGCTGGAAGCCCGTCTCAATGGCCTGGAACTCGTCGTCGGTCAGGATGCCCAGCTTGGTGTTCTGGCGGGCATAGGCTATAGAGCCGGCAATGTCCTGGGCGTAGAAGTTGCGGTCGTAGTAGATGGACTCGTTGTAGGCGACCATCAGCGGGTCAAGGCCGCCTGTTGGGGTTGATCAGGACGCGGACGGAAGGTTTATCGGTGCCAATGGTGGGTTACCTGTGAAGCGGCCGCCCCAGAGCATCGTCTTGCTGGGCTTGTTGTCGGCCATGGCGGGCAGACGGCAGGAGAGCGGTGGGGAGGAGGCGCAATTGAGAGGGCCCGACAAATTTCACGGCCGAGACTGGAGAAAAGTAGCTTTGTTGTGAGTCAACTGGTGCTCGGCGGGGAATGAGCACAGGCTCTGTGCGCGAATCACCGACTTCGCAATGGAATATTGTCTTATCGATAGCGCTCTCCGCTGTTTAGCCGAGCGCCCCGAGCTCAAGCTCCCCGGTGACGCACCCACGCCGTCTCTCCCGATCTCTCCCTTCCTTCCGCTCCCCGACAGCGCCCGCGGCTCCCAGAGCACCATGGCCACCCTGCAGAACCACTGGCACCACCGCCGCGTGGCTGATGCCCAGGCCAGAGCTTGCTGGATCTGCTTCAAGCCGTCGTCCAGCGTGCTGATCACCCCGGACAACAAGGTCAGCGCGCCGCCAATCCACTTCCCGCCGGCCTCAAGCTGAAGCGTGCAAGGACTTCTTCTACATATGCCCCGGCCACTTGAAGGATCGCGGTTTCTGTGAGCCCGATGCCGACGAAGCCGCAGCTCTGGCCGACAAGAAGAAGAAAGAGGAGATGGACCTCGAGATCAAGAAGGTCAAGGACGAGTACGAGGAGAAGCAGCGTCGGAAAAAGGAGCGTCGCAAGGAGAAAGAGGCTGAGAAGGGCAAGGACAAGGAGAAGGACAAGGAGGATAAGAAGGACGAGGCCGAAGAAGACAAGAAGGACGAGAAAGAACGAGACGACAAGGTCAGCCGTCTGCCCACACCGTAGCCTGCCTCGTGCGTGCCTGACCTCGGCCAGATCCAAGCTCTTTCCAACCCAGACCAGACCAAGGCTGATGATGGCCCGCGCATTTTCACCCTCCACAAGTACGTACACGCTCCGTCACTTGACCGAGCCACCCCCAACCCCTCCCAATCTGCCGAAATGCACAATGCACATCTTTACCGTGCGGGAGCATCCATGCGGCCTTGCGCCTTCCCGACTCTGGCCTACCCGTCCGGAGCGGTGCCTTCCGCTCGGTTTCGCGATGGCTGCGAAATGTCCTTTTCACCACCTTCGAGTCATGCTAGATATGCATTCGCATGGGGCCCGGCCGCACTACTCCATGTACACTGTTCTGTGGAGCACGACGCCACTCGTGCAACCGTTGGCTGAAAGGCGTTTCGATAAGGCTGTTGTTGTCAGCCCAAAGCATGACTAACACTCTTACAGGAATTTCCACCAGATGCGCATCAGGCGGATCCGTGACGCAGAAGCTGCTCGGAGAAACAAAGACAGACTTGCGAATCCGGCCACGTTCCCATCGGTCCCCAAGGGCGATCTGTGAGGGCGGCGTGGCAGCGCAAATCTCGGCCAGCCGCACAGCGTCCATGTTGCAGCATCGCCCAGCTCCATTGTGCTCCATGATACCCGGCTGACTCGTCGCAAACATCCAAATCCGTTGCGCGCTGGGCGTTAGTCGATGTCTGGCGCACATCCTGTCCGATGTCGCTAAGCCCTAGGACGTTCTAGTGAGGTGTGAGATGCAGTCAGCACTTAGCTAGTGACACGAGGCGCGCTGCTGACGGCAGGGTTCACAACACCTCTATGGCGTCTGCTCCGCCTGTGCGCCCGCCATCGAGCCCAAATGCCAGCCAGTCCGCCCTCCCGCTCGAAGGATTGTGACAAGGCCAGCGCCGCGGTCCGCGCCAGCGACAAGGCCACCGCAAGGATGGGGCATCCCCAGGCCATAGCGAATTCGACCTATGATCACCAATTCTCCACCTTTGCTTACTCACGAAATGGCAATCCCAGAAGATCTTCAGCCCTGTGCCAGCCCGCTGATCTGTCCCACGAATCCACGCCCTCCCACGCTGCAACAACCCCGCAGGTATTGCAAGCCTGGATCGCGCGCTAGACCGCGGCCTCGGCCTGTCTGCAGCCAGCCATGAATTGCTCCCGCCTTTCCGAACTGCTACCACTCTTTGCCCAAAAATTTCTGTCGTCTTTATTGGTCACTCCCGACTTCCGACCGCCATTCCGTCACTGAACACCAGCTTTTGCTTTTCCCACCCCCCAGACATGCTACCACGCAAGTTGCACGCTTTCTGGTTTAGACCAGCATCACGCAGCTCTTGGCGCCCGTCCAAGACTTCTTGATTATCCCCCCACGCAACCCACGCATGCACCTAGCTCGTTTTCCTGTGCTTACCGTGCTGGCCGGCTCCACATCATGTTGCTGTAACTCGACGATTTGGGAATCCTTCCGTGACTCGTATCAACCTCTCATGCATGGTGATTTCCCATTAACACGCTAACACACGGGACGTTTGGGGATTTCTCGTTGCATGGTACCGCCTCTGTACTCACAACAAAACTCCTGCATCTGCAGCATCTCCCCGCAGCGGAAGTTCTGCCTCGACAGCAGGGGTGCTCATTTAGATGAAGGAAGCTCTACGACATGGGACGACAGTATAACTCCGATTGGCTGCCGGCGCGGCGGGAATACCTTAGCTTTTTCCTCTTCCGTACTTCCTCTCGCGCTTGCCGATCGAGAGCAACATACCGCCCGCCCGCGCAATTCCTGCGCTTTTTTCCACGTCTCCACCTTTGGCTCGTAACCGGCTACCCGGTAAAAAGGGAACAATGCGTGCAACTGCACTCGGCAACATGCGCGCATGTACGTGTTGTACATACGTACGCATCTCCACCACACACACCCACACACACCCATCTTAGGGGCAGCACCCAGCCGCCACGAAGCCCCGGACATGACTCTACTTTCGGTCTCATGACACCCCATGCTCGTCATCATCATCGTCACAAACTTTCCCCCCCTCCCTTCTCCCTGCCTGCCATCCAATAATCTCGGTGCCCGTCGAATCAGCCTCGGATGTCTTCTTGTGTGAAGTTTGTGTACGCCACGCACGCACCCATGATGTGTACATAAATTGATATATGTGTGGGGTTTTTTTTCTTTTTCCTTCCTTTGCTAAATATTGCCTAAAAGGGGAAAGAAAAAGAGAAATCGTGCCTCGACAACGCGAGTAGCACATTGTTGCCAAACGTAGAATGGAAAAGAGAAGGTAGACGAGTGGGTAACATGTAGCAAAGCCGCAGGGGGGGTGGCGCGTTGCCGGAAGAGCGGGTATGCGGGTATTGTAGTGCAGTCAAGTGTGTGGTTTGCTGCAGTGTCCGTATCACTAGTACCATTCTTGGCTTGGCTTGCAGGTGGCTATTTGTAAAGGACTGGTCCGAGTTGGAAAAGCGCTGTAGAGGTGCGTGTAGTGTTGTGTGGGTGTGGTCTTTTCTGTTTTTTTTTTTCGTCCTGTTAGCTGTTAATGGTTTCTTCCTCACGCCGCTCTCGTCCCTTTGATTCCCTTTTCTCTCTTTTTTTTTGATTGTTGTTGGGGTTTGGTCTGTTACGGTTCTTTGGTTTGGTTGTGGGGATTTCTCTGACATGTGGCTAGAGATAAGGTTTAAGCTTTTCTATCTGGACTGTACGTCAACAGAGCCTGATAAAGTACACTCTTCTTATTAGAAATATAAGAGTCATTCTTTAAGTTCACGAAAAGCTTATAATTTGTTATATTTGGATTAACGTCGTATTAAGAAAAGTGATTTATTGAGGTACGAGTTACTGGAACGCCCCTACCATCTATCCTTATCTTGATAAGTAGCTGAGATTATCTAAAACGGCCACATAGTACACACTTTACTATATCTCTTTATGCGAAGAGCGTTTTCCCTAGAAATAGACACTCACTATCCGCGAAACGAGGATAGAGAAAGAGAGAGAGAGAGAGAGAGAGAGAGAGAGAGATAGCTTAATGTAGTCTAAATCACCTTCTAAATGCACTATGTCATGTAGGGGGATGGTAAAGCGAATCGATATGGCGGCGAAAATGGAAAAGCTTCGACCTGTTTTCTTCATCGGAAGCTCAAAGCTTCACCGTGGCTTGTCAAAGCAGAGAGCGAGGGACGTCTCGCAGAAAAAAAAAAAGTAAAACTTCGTAGTACAACCACGAAGGTACTATCAGTTGAAAGGTACAAAGGAAAAAAAAAAAAGAAAAACACAGGCTCGCGGCTCTAAAGCGCAGCCGTCTTCTCCGCAAGGGCGGTTTTCTTCTCTAAGAGGGATCAAGTATCGAGTTTCCCCGCTCCTCGTAAACCATTAAGAAGAAAAAAGTAGAGAGACGGAGAGATGGAGCGAAGCAAAGTATTCTTCCTCGTTGAGCAGCAACAAGGTAAGAACTGCGCACAAACAACCGACATCCCCTTTTCTCCTATCGGGCGACGAACACCCGCATCGTACGCACTGCGCGACTATAAGCCATGCATGCTATAATATCCGTAGGGCTCGTCAGATCGGGGGACAGCGCCGGTGACGCAAGACAATCGGAGACGTCCCACAGAGATCGTAGCGCGGACACATCGGGAAAATGGGGGCCACCGGGTCGAAGGAACTAGTAGAGCGGACGGGCGGGTATGCGCGGCGGTGGGTGGGGGAGGAGCGACTCGACAAGGGAACGAAAGAGAGAAGAAAAGCGAGAAGGGAAAAAAAGATTTCTTCGCTTGATTGGCCGAGAAGCCAAAGAAAAAAGGGAAAGAGAAAAAAAAAAGATGGGGATATCAGAGATAAGTGAGCTATTGGTTGAGGGGAGCTCCGCGCCCGGAAAGGGTTACGTACATACATACCATGCCATGCCATGCAAAGCCTGCTTGACCTCTCACCATCATTGTCATCGTCATGGTCCCCGGTCCGGTTGGCTGGGCCTGGCCCCCAGGTTTGCTGCGCTGCAGGGCTGAGAGACAGGGTGGGAGCGATCTTTCTTTGCCGGCCCCCGCGGGAAGGCTACGTTCCGGGGGGTGAAGACGAGATCTTTTCCTTTCGTACCTGGCGCCTTTTTGGTTCCGTTCTTGGCGTTTTGCTCTATGCATACGTAATGCTTGTGTGTATGTGTATGAATACGTACCGACAACAGGCCTCGGGGCTGGACAAAAGCTAAGTCTCAATATGGTAGTAAGCCATAAGACGGAGAGATAGGGCATTGTAGATAATGTATGACGGTAGCGCTGCTTCTGGTGGTTCAAACAGTCTTTCCTCTGCTGCCAAGGAAAACCAACTTTTAAAAAAAAGATCGCGGGTTTATGCGAGCGGGGAATAAAGAAGGATTGCGATCGGCGACAGTAATGGAGATAAATCTGACTCTTATCGGTCGGTCGGTTGGTGTTGCGCAAAGTCGCATATCTGTGCGGAGGATTTCTACTACTTCTCGATGTAGATAGTGCAGGTGTACGTACACACATGTGTATAAGACCACATACGCGCCACGAAAACCCCGGCTTGGCAGCTCCTTCGTAGGGCAGCAGCCTTACAATTTCCCGGATTGGACGTATGGTACGACAGAAGCCGGGCATGTGCAGCTTTGAACGCGTAATCGGCGCGGGAAGAGTGCTGTGTGCGTCCTATAGCAAAGTATGATAGAGGCCATGTGAGGGAGCAAAAAGAAAAGCGGAGGCAAAGGCCAGGCTGTGCTGCAGACACGAGAAATACCAGGATCTGGTCGCTGCTCACTCGCCGAGACGAACGGACCAGACGACTACAGCGGATGGTGAAGGTAAATTTCAGGCAGCCTCACGACCGCCAAGCTTCTATCGTCATCGACGAATGACATACATACGACATCTGTCAGTGGTGCAGAAGCAGGTAATTGCTTAGCGCGATGGACAGAAAGCCACCTGCCCTCCCGTCGCGGATTTGCTGCTCCTCGGTCGGTGGGGGTACGTACGGTCTGGCGGTGAGAGCTTACTACATGGTCTTAAAGATAGACCGGCATCACTAATGGCCGCTGCTTCAGCCCTTCCCCGCCCTACCCACGGCACAGGCTCGACCACATCCCGCGCTAGCATCGATCATCGCCCTCGTTGAATTTCGGTAACCTCCGAGCCTGAGTTGATCGGGAAGGACCCGCAGCGAAAACCAGGGCCCTTATAAGAAAAATCTCGAAGTGGTTGGAGGTGGTTGAATCGGCAAGGCCGACGGGAGGTAGGGTGGATGGGGGCCGAAAAGCGCCACGGTACCGTCCCTGCGTCCAGGGGGACTGTCCATCCAGAAGCCCGCATCCGGCCTCGGGGCCGTTGCGAGTCGGAAGTGTGAGAAATGGACCACTCTGGACGCCGCAATTTCTGCACGAAGCCGGTTTCTGTTCCTCTCGGCCGTGTAACCTCGAACGACTGACCCCGGACCCGGCTGCCCATCACCCTTCCTTCCCGCGGCGGCTCGCCCACCCGGTGGTCCTTCTCCCGCCTGCAGCGAGCCGGGATGTGGGCGTGCTCCGGCGGGCG